TTTTTTTTTTCTTTTCTTTTTTTCCTTTTTTTCGTGACCGGCAACGGATCGCAACTCGGTGTTGCGCCCGCACCTCGCTCAGCCAGTGAGCCGTTTTTTCTTCCTTTTTTTCGTGACCGGCAACGGATCGCAACTCGGTGTTGCGCCCGCACCTCGCTCAGCCAGTGAGCCGCCGGTCTGTATGTGGGATCCGAACCCTCGGCGGGAGCGCCGCCGCGGCACACTGTAGCAGTGCGCCACCGGGCCCGCCTAGGATATATATTTCTATTTCAACTCCAGACAGCTGGAGACCACTTGTTTGTTTCACCTCTACACACTGGGTAGGCTACAGCTTCCCGTATCACCTACTCCAAATAGTAGACAAACTTCCTTGTCTTAGGACAATCCCCAATGAATAACAGAAGGTATACCAGGCTTTTGACACAGTAGCAATGCCTCTATTCTAAAGTAATGATCTTCTAAAGATTGTTAGAAGGACCAAACAGGATTACCACTTTAAAGAACTGTACAGTACAAAGAATGTACTAATCACATTATAATGACCATATATAAAATTCTGACTAAAATCTATAATTTTATAAGTGATCTTTTTCTTGCTGTTGTTACTTTCTTCACTAGGTAATGAATCATAGATATCTCTTCATGAAAATGAATACAGATCAGCTTCAATCTTGAATGATTATGTGGAACTCCATTCAGATTATACCCCAACATATTTAGCCAATCTCCTCTGACATTTAGGTTGGTCCAATTTTTCATTACTACAAATGACACTTGCAGTAAACAACCTTGTACATACAGCCTTCCATTTACCCAATTATTTCATTAGAAAAGATTTTTGAAAATATACGTTTATAATTTTGAAATACACTGCCAAAATACCCACAAAAGACTATCAATTTACACCCCGACGTTGCAAGACAGCCCATTTCTCCACAAACTCACACTATTGCTTACTATTTTTAGCCTTGCCAATTAGATTTGGTACAATTAATATAAATTTGCGGTTTTCATTTACATTTTTAAAAAGTAAATGTAAGACTGAATATCCTTTCAATGACTACCTTTTTTCTTGAATGAAATGGTCATTTCCTTCATTCAGTTTTCTATGACAGTGTTTGTTCCTTAATTCTTAAAAAACAATTCTTATGAAAGAAGAACCTGTGACTAAAATTGCAATTGGAGAGCTACCTACCCAGTATTAATCATTTCCTACCTGTGTCATCAAGCCTCATTATATCATCCCGTAAATTGGTTCCTCCTGTGGTTGCCATCACTTTGGCCCCTCCCATGTGTTTGCTGACCTGGATGCAAATTTGACTGACCTGTAGAGCAAGTTCTCTAGTGGGAACAATCACCATTGCTGGAAAATATCAAGAAACAAAGAAAATTTTAAAAAGAACATGTCATATTTTAAGAGTTTAAGAAGCTACCTAAATGCTTATTGCTCCTTGTAATCTAGACTCTGAGATGTACTAAAAAGTCAGTAAAAGATATCATGAAAAGTCAAATGAATCAATCTCTTAAAAAAGAACCTATTCAGCATTCTAGATTTAGACTTTTCCTCAGCAAGATTACTATATAAATACTGGACTCTCCTTAATTACAAACCTTTGAAAGGTTCTTTGAGTTGGCAACCGTTAGCTCAAAGTTTACTAACTTAAGGCTGGCTGGTTAGGTCAGTTGGTTAGAGCGCAGTGTTGATAACACTAAGGTCAAGGGTTCAGATCCTTGTACCAGCCAGCCGCAAAAAAAGGAAAAAAATATTTCTGTGTCCTAACTACATTTGTTAGACAGTAAGAAATTCACTAGCCTAAGCATCCAAGCAGAAAACTCCTGCTGCCCAGGTTCTATTTACATCATACGAAAGTAGGGAAAATAATTATAGATCCAAAAAGCTGAAAACTTAGGAAAGGCTTCAGAAGTGAAATCTTAATTCTTTTAACGTACCCTGGATACAACTATGGAAATTTGTTTCCTCCCTACTGCCTAAGCTTTTAAAATCCCCAAAGCACAAGTCTTTAAGCAGAAGTTGTTCGTGTTTTGGCAAGGAATTCTGCAGACCTGCAGCTCCCACAGAAAACCATCCAGTTCCACAGTTAATAAGAAGCTATGTCAACTAATTTAACTTCTCATGATCTCAGCTTTCCTAAACTACTACAGGAATACCTACAATAACAATACTTATTTTGCCTATCTCACTGGAAATGTTGTTAAAACTTTATCATGTAAAATTACTTTGAAAACTAGAAATCTCTTTTAAAAATTGCGAATCATTTTTACAAGACAATTAGGCCAAAAGATATGGGGGGAGAAAAAAGAGTACTAATACAAGATTATGTAAATTCTGACTAAAAAAAAGATGGAAATATCTTCCATATAGCCCCAGGACTTAAACCACCATTTTTAGTTTAAAAAAACAAAACCCACAAACTTTTTCTCCAACTAACCTTGTATATTGTCCTTCTTCAGGTCTAGCCGTTCAAGTAAGGGAATGAGGTAGGCACCGCTCTTGCCTGTTCCATTTTTTGCTCTAGCTAAGATATCCCTACCAGATAAAGCAATGGGAATGCTCTCCTCCTAAGAGACAAGACAACGCAAAATTACTTATGAATAAAAATAGTACATATGCAAATTCTTCTCTAAAATATACTTAATACCTCTTCTCTTTTGGTACTGCTTTGAAATGGCCTATATTTGCATTTTACATGAATAAAAGACATTCAAGTAAATCAGCAGGACCCATCAACATCACCATCATCAACCACTATTTACCAAAGCTGCTCATAAAATACATTTTAAATCACATTCCAATGTGATAAAAACTGTATGTGAGTATATGTATGGACAAAGAAAACAACAAAGAAAATGGAGGAAGTTGGGCTGACCCATAAGTAGAACTTGAATATACAGACAAAAAAGCAAATGATGTTTCAATTAAAAAATGGAAAAAAACAGCACAAACAATTCCAAGGAAAGACTACATGTGATATTTTGAGATTAGTAAGCCAAACTGACCACAGTGAAAAATTGTAGCTTGCATAGTGTATCCTTGCACAAAAAAGAAATGGGCTTGAAAAGATTAATAACTTCAAGCCCTATCTGGCATTTATTTATGTATTACATAAACCTCCAATGTCTGTGTCTCACAGTCAACTTCTGCCCTGAAATATGCTCAACTGGAAGCTCAATTCTATTTCAGTTATCTCAATCCATGGTCATATCACTGAAAAGTGACTTCTTACTTTGTCATGCGTGTTTTACAGAAGATAATATTTCCTATTAACTTAGGTCAAATTTCCCAGACAATAGCAAAGAACTCCCAACAGTTACTGAAAATTAAATACACATATACAGAGAGAAATTAAAAGGGAGAACAGGCACAAACAAGGAGAAAGCAGAACATATAGATAATGCTCAGCTAAAAAATCTCTACAGGGGCCAGCCTGTGGCTCACTCGGGAGAGTGCGGTGCTGATAATACCAAGGCCATGGGTTCGGATCCTATATAGGGATGGCCGGTTCGCTCACTGGCTGAGCGTGCTGCTGACAACACCAAGTCAAGGGTTAAGATCCCCTTACCATTCATCTTTAAAAAAATAAATAAATAATCTCTATAGACAAAGAACAGTACAACCTGGTCCCAAAGACACTCCAGTCACTCAATAATGGGGTCTTAGCTTGACAAAGGAATTAGGAGACAATACATTGAGAGGACATTTTATCTGAAAAGAATTAAGAAATTCTCTGAAAAAAAATTTTTTAAAAGTCCCTATTATTCTCTATTAAGGCAAATATCAAGTCAAAAAATACATTCTGCCATCCAAATTTAACTTTGTAGGCAGGCCACGTAGCTAAACAAAATTTGCCTTCTCACTTTTAATTCTAAAACCTAATATAATGATTTAATGATGTCATCAAATTTCAGAAACAGAATAACTATCAGACTGTAGGTAATTCAGGTTTTACAAACTGGCTCCAAACAGAAAACAGTGGTATAAGACCCAAATTCAGACTTCTATTAAAGAAAAAACAGATCTGTTGGTGTTATGGTAAAGTATTGGACCCTAATCCAAACTAGTCATTTTGAAAGCCCATATCTCCATCATAAAAAAAAAAAAAAGAAAGACTAGCAATGTCGACAGCTTAGTATAAGCAGAAAGTGGCAGCTACTGCCAGTGCTTCTACCATTACATCAAAAATATTTAGGCCTAGAAAAAAACTACTCTTCACAGATTTTGGAGAAACCAGTTTTTTCTTGTAAGGTCTTCCCTTCCCCTTTTCATCTTAAAAACTAAAAACATGGAAAACATTAACGATTTTAATTTTTAGGTGAAAATGTTTTAGAACAAGTGTGAATGTATTGTTCCAGGGCTTTACCAAATAAATTCCTAAAAGTAACAGGGGTTTTGTATTTAAAAAGTTTGTTTTTAATGAGGACAAAGTCAACTATAATTATTAAATGAAAGAAGCAAGCACATTTCGGCTCCCAGAGAAGTATTATTGTTCTCTACCACGAAAACAAGAGAAAACAGATTCATGGTTTTGCTTATGATAGGTAAATTCTGGACTAGGGCTGAAAGAACTGTGAGTGTGATGTGGACATGACACTAATAGTCAAATTATCTACAAAAGAGAGTTTATTTCACTACTTACTGAAAGACTCAAAAAATCAAAGAATTTAGAATCTCAGTTCTGGAGCCTTGAATTTCAAATGGATTTCAACATATTTATTTAATAAGAGGCCAAATATATAATAACTCAGTAATTATACCTAATACATTTCATATATCTAAATTTGAAGTATGACTGCCCATCGGTAAATGTTATTTTTAAAATGTTAGAAATACTTTTAAAATGTTAGTTTTTCTTCAAATTCCTCCATACAATCATAATAAAAGGATTTTTTTTTTCCTTTCTGCTTCAAAACTATAGAAAGTTTCACTCATCACTACTAAAATATAAATTAAGGCATATACCCTAGTGATCGTAGATCGGTATCATATTTGTGAAGGACTTACTGAATGGTTCAATATGCTGCTTAAAAACATCCTATGCTCTATCATTTGGCAAATTATATCATAAAAACAGAACTCCCATACTAACATATTTTGAGTAAAAAGAGAACACAAGAAAAATCAGAATCTTCAAATCT